AAAGAAGGGTTCACGTACCCACCACCTAGCCCAAAAAGTAAGAAGTCAGGGTCCCCTGAGTCCCCCTCCCAGTCTGCTTTACCACTCACTCCCACAGGTAAATACTATCCTGAGAAATTTTCAGGCCTTCCTTTTTACTTTAACTACAAATCTACTTCCTCAGTTAAGAGTGCATTATTTGGCCTATTTTTACTCTTTACATAAATAGTATCATACCATAAATACTTGCCTGCAACTTCCTTTTTGCCCAACATTATAGCTGTAAGATTCATCCATGTTGAAATCTGGAATTCCATGCATGTAATTAATTCAATTTCTCAATCTGTCTAAATGTATTATGGAGACTGATTATTCCTATTATCTTATTTTGAGCTTTCTAATTTTGTCTAAGCTTTCTTTTTTTATTGTTTCTCAATGACTTTTTTGAATTGATGTGATTGTTTTATTGTCTTTACTGATTTGGAAGTGCACATTTTATTTCTGATATATAATAGTTCCCCTTCATTTGTTAAATGGATATTTAACAAAGTTTAATATTATTCAGTACTGTTATACTTTTTCCCCAACAACTCACCTCCAGCTTCATTATTGGTGACTAATATTTTATTTCCGTTTCAGTTTATACCCACAAATTATATATGATTCTGTTACTTTATATGGCCAATATTTGTTTTTATTTACCCATTTATTTACCAGCTTTTTTCTCATTATTCTCTTGCATCTCACACCTTCCTTTTGAGACCCTTTTCTCTTTTCCTAACAAAGTAAGTCTGCTGATAGCAAATGCTCTCTTTTTTGTCTTGTCTAAAAGTACCCTTAGTTCACCTTCATTCTTGAAAGCCAGTTTGTAAACAGTTCTAGGTTGGTCATTATTTCCTCTTCTCCTGTGAAGGTTTTAATGTATTACTCCTCTGGCTTATATTGTTATAGCTAAGGTGCCTGTTGTCCATCTAATTATAATTTCTTCATAGATAATCCGTCTTTTATTTCAGCCCTTTTTAAATATCTCTTCTTTGTTTTTATACTTTTACTATGATGTGACTAGGTATGGGTTTCTTTTTATTTACTCTACTTGAGATTCATTTTGCTTGTTGAATATGAGTATTCATACCTTTAGTTTAGAAAAATAATCAGCTATTATCTCTTCAAATATTTTCTCTGTCCCTTCCTCTGTCTCCTCTTTACCGAGACTCCAAATAGAAACCGTTTGAATCTCTCACTTTACCTTCCTTTTCTCTTACCCTCTCTTTTATATTTTCTACCATTTTGTCTCTCTGTGCTACATGCTGGGTAATGCTTTCATATCTAGTTAATCATCTCTTAACCAGTGCTAAATCTGTTCCCTGATGTTAAACTCATTTGAAGAGTTTCTGAATTTCAATTATTATGTTTTTAATTTTTAAAAATTCGAATTGGTTTCTTAATCAATTCTGCTGGAATTTTTAAAATAGTATCTTGTCTCTTTCTCATGTCTTTAATGTCTCCTCTTGAAACATTTTGGATTTGGTAGTTTTATATTCTATATCTCATATTTACAACATCTGAAATCCTTTTTGGTCTAACTCAGCTATGTATTATTTCAGCTGACCCCCTCCTCAGAGTGGCTTGGGTTTTTTGTGTATTTTATTATTTTGGATTGTGTGCTCTTGATCGGCAGGAGTTTATCATTTGGGATGCTGTGAAACCAAAGAATTTAGGTCTACGCATATCTGGTACACCTAACTTAAATTTTTGGCTCAGGGCTTCCTAGTTCAAGCAGGCAACAATTAATTCAAACTCCAAATCTACAGGAGGGCCAAGCAATAGATACAACTTCTCAAGGAAAGCAACTTTTTTTACAACCAATCCTAGGGGAGAGCCAAGCCTGCAGAAACAAGTTTCCTGGTCACGTTCTTTGATACTACGTGAGCATTTTTCAAAAGTTTTATTTATTTAAATAATCTTTGCACACACCCCCCTCCATCCCCACCCTGCCATGGGGCTTAAACTCACAACCAGAAGATCAAGACTCACACACTCTTCTGACTGATCCAGACAGGCACTAGTAGGCTTTTTTGAATTCATTTTTTTTTTCCCTGAGAACATAGCCCACCAAGAGCTTTATTCTGGGGTCCCAGGCATTCTCTGCTGTCATCCACACCTCTAGGTTACTCAGACTGACAAACAACCACAAGGTAGTCTAAGTTCCAAGACATACTTTGTTTTTGGTCTCTGAGGATTTCCTTTATTTTCTAGTTACCTTGACAACGTATTTAAATGAAGATGTGTTGGGGCGCCTGGGTGGCTTAGTCGGTTGAGCGTCTGACTTTCACTTAGGTCATGATCTCACGGTTCGTGGGTTCGAGCCCCGCGTCGGGCTCTATGCTGACTGCCAGCTCAGAGCCTGGAGCCTGTTTCAGTCTGTGACTCCCTCTCTCTCTGACCCTCCCCTGCTCACGCTGTCTCTCTCTCTCTCTCTCATAGAAATAAAAATAATAATAATAAAAAAATAAAAATAAATGAAGATGTGTTACATTTTATCCAGCATATCCAGGAAATTTACAACAGGAGGTTTTGGGGGTTGGAGGTTGTGGTTTTTTGCTTTGTGCTTTTTGCTTTTTGTTTTTAGGAGTTATATGCCACCATAGTGTTCTTGCCCAGGCTTTTAAATAATTCAGTCTGCAATGTGTCTAACAGTTTGGAAGGGAGCAACACACAGAAGCAGGGAGACCTATAGAGGAGCTAAAATGAGCAAATCAGAGGACTCCAGATGCTGGCGAGGATGTGGAGAAACGGGCACCCTCCTACACTGTTGGTGAGAATGTAAACTGGTGCAGCCCCTCTAGAAAACAGTGTGAAGGTTCCTCAAAAAAATTAACAACAGAACTACCCTATGACCCAGCAATAGCACTGCTAGGAATTTACCCAAGGGATATAGGAGTGCTGATGCATAGGAGCACATGTACCTCAGTGTTCATAGCAGCACTCTCAACAATAGCCAAAACATGGAAACAGCCTAAGTGTCCTTCAACAGACGAATGGATCAAGAAGATGGGGTTTATCTATACGATGGAATACTACATGGCCATGAGAAAGAATGAAATCTGGCCATGTGTAGCAACATGGTTGGAACTTGAGGGTGTTATGCTGAGCGAAATAAGTCAGGCAGAGAAGGACAGCTACCATATGTTTGCATGTATAGGAGGATTAGGAGGAACTTAACAGAGGANTGTATAGGAGGATTAGGAGGAACTTAACAGAGGACCGTGGGGGAGAAGAAGGGGGGAAATAGTGGGGGAGAGGGAGGGAGGCAAACCATGAGAGACTCTTGAATGCTGAGAACAAACTAAGGACTGATGGGTGTGGGTGTGATGGGCATGGAGGAGGGCACTCGTTGGGATGAGCACTGGGTGTTGTTGGAAACCAACTTGACAATAAACTATTTATTTAAAAAAAAAAAAAGAGCTTGAACTAAAAAAAAATTTTTTTTTAACACTGGAAAAAAAAAAGAAGCAGGGAGACCTAGGAGGAGCCTACTGCAGAAATTTACACAAGAGAGGATAATAACTTAAAGGAGAGTGGTGGTGGCTGAGACAAACAGAAACAGGTGGATCTGGGAGATATTTAGTAAGTAAAATCAACAAGATTTCAGACATCCAAGAAAAGGTGTCTAGTGACAAGTTTTTACAGAGTCAGGAGGTCAGAGGAGAAGTTCAAGTTGCATAAGATATTGGGAAGTCTCTGAAAAACTGGTAGCTGAATTTGTTACTGAACTCAAACTTGTCAGTGCACCCCATGCTCAATAAGCCAATGTCTGAGACACCGGTTTTGAAAGAAAGGAAGTTTTATTATTAGAGGAGCAGCCCAGAGAAAAGGCAGGGGTCATTCACAAAGCTGTCTTGCCCTGCTGAGTGAAGGGACAGCTTATATATGTTTGGGGAAGGAGGTGAATAAGTGAGAGGTGGGTGAGGGGGGTTCTTTTAACCCTGAAAGGGGGTATCTGGAGGTGTGGATGTTTCTGGAAAATGAAGGGCCGGTCAGGGTCAGGACTCAGTTTCAAGACAAATGCTATTGTCTGGTCCTCATTAGTTTTCTACAATCAGTGGGTAAACAGGGAGTAGGGGTGAAAAGGGCAAAGCTAATGCTAAGAGGTACTAAAACAGAATTAAGTAGCGAACAAAACAGAAGGTGGGCCTAAGTTAATAATGCAACTAATACACCTATAGTGTGCTTTCAAAGCTGGTCCAGGAACTAGTGTCCAGCCTCAAATTCACCAACATACATAATTGGAAGAAAGTGCAGAATTAAGAGAGGACGTTCCTATGGCCCAACTTTGAGGAATACCAACATTTTAAGACCTTAGAAGAAGCAGAGAGGCAACAGAAACTGGAAAGTTTGGAGAAAGACCCAGAAGAGAGCTGTGGATTTCACTGGGGCAGAGAGATGAGCATTTCCAAAGGGAGGGAGTAGTCTGCAAATGTCCAGTGAAACCGAGGTCAAGAAAAATGACTGAACACTGGGCATTTTGTTTTGGTGACATATCAGAAAATAAGTGCTTCTGAGAGTCAACAAACGATAAAGGCAACCGGCAGGCCAAAACAGAGGGCGTTAGCATTAGAAGAAAAGGGCTGGAGAAGGGTTATTTTAAGAGGAGAGGAACTTTACAAAGTTCAAATGATGATAGGAAGGAACCAGAACAAGGAGAAGAAAGGAAAAAGAGGCCAGGTTGAAAGAAATCCATAGGACGAATAGAGAGATTCTCTTGTATTACTACTAATCCACCAGGCTGAAAGGACATTCAGATCTCGACAGTTTGAGCACCTACCGTGTGTGTGTGTGCGCGCGCGCGCGTTCTCTACACTAAAACCCTCCCTGCGGCGCCTGCGTCCCTTCTTTCCCCGCCCACTGGGTCTAAGACTACGGCCTCTCCTACTCCCGCCTGTCCCTGCCACTCCTTGCGATGACGTAACAGCCTTCTCTAAGAACTCTTCCGGGTCGCCTGGCAGGACCACGCCCAGTCTCAGTCCTGCCCACCCCGCTATTGGAGCGCGCTTCTTGAAAGACGCATGCGCACAAAGGCCCCTTCCAAGACTGGGAGGTCGCTTCCAAGATTGGGGGTTCCCCCCTCAACTCTTGCGCTGGTCGCTATGCGGGTGCTTGTGGGTGAGGGAGGGCAGAAAGGGAGAGTCGGGGGCGGGCTTATGGAAAGGTTGAAACAAATACTGAGAGGTGGGAGGCCGTGCACAGGTAATCGTGCACCAGCCTTGGCCTCCTATCCCAGGAAGCCAAATCTCCCCCAAACCTTGTGACCTGTGTCACCTCTGCATCGCGGGGGAGGGGGCGAGAAGGAGGGGAGAAATCTGGAGTCAGATGGGATAGCACCAGAGGAGGGGACCACATATGGGGATGGATGGTGACCCGACACCCCCCCCCCCCCGAGGATAAATAGCTCGTAATTTCTGGTCAGGTGGCGGGACAGGCTTCATTGGGACAGCCCTAACCCAGCTTCTGAAAGCCAGGGGCCACGAAGTGACACTGGTATCCCGAAAGCCCGGGCCCGGTCGGATCACCTGGGTATGTCCATCCTCTGGAAGCTGTGGGAGAAGGTCTGGTTTGGCGACACAGCGGCGAGCCACCACCCGCACCCCTCAGCATTGTTTTCTCCAACAGGATGAACTCGCTAAGTCGGGGCTGCCCGGTTGCGATGCGGCTGTCAACTTAGCAGGAGAGAACATCCTCAACCCTCTCCGAAGGTCAGCCAGGGCCCCGAAGCTGATAGCCTTCAGAGCAGAGGGAGGACGGGTGTGACCCTGATGAGCTGTGGCGAATAGAGATGTCATGTTAAGAACTAAATTCCTTTTCCAAACTACTCATCCCGCCCCACTCCTCCCTCTACACCCACCTGCCCTTCTGCCGCCTCAGCCGTTGCCTTTAGTCCTCACTCATAACTCAGGATGCCCAAAATATATGCCTTTTTTTCCTACAGGAGAGATGGGCCATTTCTCTAAACCACAATGCAGGGGTTTACTAGAAATGGGTATGGATGAGCCCCAGGGAAAGAGGAAGGGATACATGCATGTACTATTTAGGGACTTATTCCCCCCCTCCCTGCCTTTTTTTTCCCCTCCTGCAGGTGGAATGAATCCTTCCAGAAAGAGGTTCTCAGCAGCCGCTTAGAGACCACCAAGATACTGGCCAAAGCCATCATCAAGGCCTCACAACCCCCCAAGGCCTGGGTCTTAGTCACTGGTGTAGGTATGTCGCAAATCACCAACCCCTTATATTAGCCAGAGGAAGAAAGGTTGCACAGTGAGGGTTAGCTCAGGCCCTTCTAGCTATACACACCCGAGTGCTGGTCTTTTCCAAGCACAGGAACTTCCTCGGCCCTCTATCCATGCATATTTCTCCTGACCTTTGTGTACTTTCTCTGACAAACCCGGATTCCCAGAGGAAGAGGGGATAGTGGCTGCGTTCAGTGCCAGAAAAAATCTCATCTACTCCCAAGTCCCTTCCTTCTCACAGCACAGTTTTTTAAGAACAGAATTCGATTCTTGTATTTCACCATTGGGACCAAATAACTGCAGACAGTTCTAAAACCTGTATCAGCCACTAGTCTAAGTGTTTTACACATATTACAGCATTTAACCCTCACAAGCACCCTGTGAGATAGGTACTATTATTGTTCCCATTCTAAAGATGCAAACATTCTGCAGAGAGAGGCTATATAACTTGCCTGAACTCACAGGGTTAAAAATTGGTGGAGCTAGGAGTAAATCTCAGGCAGCCTGGCACCGAAGTCTTTGCTCTTAACCACTACATTCGAACAGCCACTCAGCTTAGCTGCAACTAAAGATAAGTTACTCTAGGGCAGGAACAGGTCAACTCATGGAGTAGCCCAAAGGAAAAATATGGCTCTGTCTTCCCATGGGAAGATCCTAAGGACCTAGGAGGGCGAGACCAAGAGGAACATTAGATGCAAAGGGCCAGGCAGGACCGAAGACACTGGGGCTAACCAGTGCTGTTCCACCGGCAGCTTACTACCAGCCCAGCCCGACTGCGGAGTATGATGAGGACAGCCCAGGAGGGGATTTTGACTTTTTCTCCAACCTGGTAACCAAATGGGAAGCTGCAGCCAGGCTTCCTGGAGAGTCGACACGCCAGGTGGTGGTGCGTTCCGGTGAGAACCAGGGGCCCGGGTATCAGACAGGTTTGGAATGTCTTCCCCCGGCTCGGGGAGTGGCGGAGTCAGAGCAGGAGAGGCCACCATTTCTGGCCAGCCTGCAGATGGGAGGACAGGAAGTCCCAGAGAGCCACACCCCTGAGCTTCTACAGAGCTAAGATGGCCTGGGGAAAGGGGGGAGGAAGGGGACACAGGGAGGAACAACGGAACTGCTGGGAGGCTGAGGATCCCCCCTGACCATCCCTCTTGCCTTGCTCTAGGGGTTGTGCTGGGCCGCGGGGGCGGTGCCATCGGTCAAATGCTGCTGCCCTTCCGCCTGGGCCTGGGGGGCCCCATTGGCTCGGGCCACCAATTCTTCCCCTGGATTCACATCGGGGACCTGGCAGGAATCCTGGTCCATGCCCTTGAAGCAAGCCACGTGCAGGGGGTCCTGAATGGAGTGGCTCCGGCTCCCACCACCACAAATGCTGAGTTTGCCAAGGCTTTGGGCGCGGCCCTAGGCCGCCCAGCCTTCATCCCTCTCCCCAGCATGGTGGTGCAAGCTGTCTTTGGGCGAGAGCGTGCCATCATGCTGCTGGAGGGCCAGAAGGTGGTCCCACGGCGGACACTGGCCGCTGGCTACCAGTATTCCTTCCCAGAGCTAGGGGTCGCCTTGAAGGAAGTCGTGGCCTGAGCAGGGAGGCCCCAGGCAGGGCCTGAGTCTTGTCCCTCGAGAGGCTCCCTGGTTGGAGACTGTGAGTAGACCCAGGTACTCCACTGAGACCTTAGGGATTCCTCTCCCTGCCTGCCTCATTGTTCTGTTGCTCCACCTTACTTAACTGAGAGACTGGCTACTGGCTCAAGGTTGCAGTCTCATCAAGTTGGGTCCTTAACCTCTTCAACTCCTTGCACAAGAATTTCCTAGTTTGGTCTCCCTATGTGTCCCATGGCTGTCCCAGCTACCCTTTATGTTGTGTAGAGAATTCTCTGCGATCGAGGCAATAAAGATAAATTATCTCACAGGCTTCGTCCACCACTTTGGCCTAGATTCTCCTAGAATTTATTTCCAAGGAAACGCCAGATGATTCTTTCCCCTACGTGGGGTTTTGAAAATTATACTGGCCAACATCTCTCTTCTTGGTCCCTCCATTGCCAAGAGCTGGTAACAAATTTGGGGTGTGAGGTTATTATAAAGGTAGAGACTGGAAAGTGAGAGCAATGATAATCCATTTCCAGTGGGTTCTGTGATCACCCTTCGTACTTGTTCACATAGTACCATAAGCGTGCCAGCAGAGGGAGAGACAAGGCCCCCATCTAGAACAGCATTCAGTCTGTCACTGAAGCTGCCAGTGAATTAACAGAGCAGTCATGCTGGCCCTAGTTCTAGCTGCAGTAGGACAGAGCCAATGCCCTGTCTCTAAGAAGCTGGGGACTTGCCTCTCATCTGATCAGGGCCACTTCAAGCAGCCTGAGTCCCTAGCACAAAAGGACAGATGGGATTCTGGCCTACTGTCCTGATTGTCTGCCACACCTTGACCAGAAGTAGTTCCCCCAGCCCCCAGTTTGGGCCATATTACCCAATCTCCTTTCTTCCCAGAGGACTAGTTGTCTTTGGGCCATTGTTACCCCACAACTAGCCTCTTTGCCACACACCTGCCCCTAGCTCAGGTCCATACAGGCCAGTACTATAAAGCCCCAGTGGCAGGAAGGATAAAGACACTCTCCAACATCATCCAGCTCCAACACTAATTGCTGGAGTGAAGAACGGAGATGGCAGTACTCAACTCGCTGTGCCACTCAGGGAGAAGTCACAGCCCGAAAAGAACCATGTCCAGGGACTTGCTGCAGACCCCAGACAGCACAGAATCCAGGGACACTTGTCCTATTTTATCTGGTCTCGGACTCTTTAGGAAGTTGACAGGCTCAGAATTGTTCCTGAGAGCATGACCGCCCAAAGGTAGAAGTAACAGAGAAGCATATTTGGGGGCTGCGACCAGTACTGTCCACAGATGAAATGTGCAGCCTTGGAGCAGTCAATGTTCTGGCACAGGAGGACTTGAAGCAAATAAAGGACAGGATGTAGGAATCAGGATGACAGTGGTTGATCCGGTGGCCAGTCAGCTACCTTCCGACTTGGACCCTTTGGTTTTCGTTTTCCAAATAATTGGTTCATCTCAATACCACCTCTATTAACCCTTCCCTCCCCACACACATGCACACCGAGCAGAAGTGGGCCTCACTTTATGCAATACATGTGTTCTGTAGAGAAAATGCTGGGGTCAGATCACACTAACATTGTCACTGCAGAGCATGGCTTCATCAGTTTGGCGAATGCTCACACGTCAGCAAGTGTGTCTCAACGGGGACTTTCTGACACATTTGTTAATCTGTAAACAAACACCTGAATGCAACAGGAGAGCTGCCGTGTATAGGAACCCTGAGTATCTTGGTAATGCAAACAGCCACCCCTAATTATCTGTTTTATAAATGTGGATTTGGGGGGGTTGCCCAAAAGGGACGCAGCCATTACAGGGCACATTATGCTGAGGATGCAGTGATAAAATCTAGGGCAGGGGCCCTGGGGGACAAAGGATCCTCAGCTCTCTGAAAGTGAGGTTTTGTTTAGGAAGCCTGTGCAGCCACAGACAGACACACCTGAGACTTGATGCAAGTACCTTTCCTCCAAGGAGCTTTCTCTCACGTTCTCATTCCTCTTCCTGGCTGGCATTTTGCTCCTGATTTGTACACAGAAGTAAAGGCCAAGCAGCTCAGTCAAGATCACAGACAGGCATAGCTGAGACCAGAAGCTAAGTCTCTCTCTGCCTTCACCAGCTCCCTGCTGCCCCATTGTGACCCATACGCCATAACACTAGCCTCCCCAGGGCCCAGGCATCCCCCCTGATGCACCCAGGCTTGGGAAGCAACCTATCCCCTGACCTTCCAGAGCCAAAGCCAGGGGGAGGAAAGGCTTAGCTTCCTTGCCACCTGCTCTTCGTTCCCCACCCTCCAGCCTCCATCCCCAACTCAGTTTGAAGGAGGAGCTGGCAGCCCCAATCTCCAGGACCTCTTCCCAGCAGCCCCCACTCCCTACAGAAACCCTGTGCTACGGCAAGGTTGAGAAGTTAAGGCTGAGCAGAACCTCCTGAGAGCTATTTGAGGTCCTGATTCCAGATCAGATCAATTCGCACCAACTCAAAGTGAGTCTAGGTCGGGATCTGAGCAGCACAAGAACCCTCACAGAAAACACTGAGCTGGTCGAGGCCGGAGCTGATGGGGGGTAGCAGCCACTCAGACAGGTGAGACTCAAAAGTTGAGACTTAGCAGGGCCTCCGAGAGCTGGTTGATGTCCCGGCAGTATGGCTCCCGCTGCAGGATGAAGTCCACCTTGTGATCCTGGCCCCAAAACACCTCCAGCAGCTGGCGCCGGAGCCGCTCTGTCTCCCGGGTCTTCCGAATGCCACCACCGCCTTTTTCCTCCTCTTCTCTCCCCTGCTGCTGCTGACCCTGTTCTGTGAAGCCCCTGGAAGGATGCTGAGCCTTAGAAGACCCCTGAGCCCTGGGAAGAAACAGAACAAGAAGAGCTGATGAGCATCATGGAGGGAAGGAAGTTAGAGCTCAATGGGCATCCCAGTTAACTGCCTGGCCTATTCCTGGCTTGGGAGGGGGGGGGGTCCTGAAGTTACCCAAGCTGACCACTGGGGGGCAGTATCAACCCACTTCTAAAGAGGAGGACATTTCCTTTGGAACCAGGAAGGTGAACCCTACCACTCGGTATGATCTAGTTTTAGTCTAATACATTGACCCCTTACTTAATGGTCCAGCACAGGTGTGCTGAATACAACTGGTGTAAGTAAAAGCAACCATGTTCCAAACAATCCACCAAACATATGGATGAGAGGAAGCTTCCCTCCCAGTCGGGAGGGTCTAATTCAGGATTCCCTGAAAAGCAGTTAAATACAGCCAAGCCCACCACAACCTGAGCCGCTGCAGAATTAAGCTGGCCCAGACTGAGGTCGCACTTCCCCCAAGTCTCCAGGTCTACAAAGCCCTTCAGGCAGAGGGCCAGGGCTGGCGGCTGCCTAAAAGCTGGGGCATTACCTGACTGGCTTCTTCAGGAACTCCTCCAGCGTGGGGCCGTTTCGCCCCAGTGGATCATCAGGGACCATGAAGAGGTTTCCCACAAAGGTGAAAGGCAGTAGGCTGGATGGGGACAGAGAACGTATGGTCACAGAGAACTTCCCAGGCAGCTGAGACCAACACCACCAGAAAATTACTGGCCACCATATCCTTCAAGGCAATATCAAGCCCCTTCCCAGAGTCTTCACTGACGGCAGAACAGAACCGGTTTAGAGAAGGTATGCGCCCTGTTCTCAGGGGAGGGTTCCCTCACCGCTCCCTGATGATCGCCATCCACTTCTCAGACTCCTCCGCCAGGTCCCGGAACTGGTCATTGGAGACAATGACCCCGTCGGTCTCTTCCGCCAGCTTCACCATGAACCTGTCTCAAAAACCATGGCAGCCGTTCTGGGATTCTCCCAGGCCCCAACCCCAGAGTATCGACTTCCATGACTCAGCTCTGGGGATAGAGATCTGGCCCCCCCACCTCACCTGGACCCAGTCACCAGGTGAGGGCCACGGTTGGAGGAGAAACAAAGACAAATCTGGCGCGATCTCCCAAGAGCATCGCCCCCACCCACCGCAATCCCCCACCCAACACTCTGTGCCTTATTCGTGAGAGACAGTGAGATCTGGCTTCAGCTCGGTCCCCTTCCATCCTCCCCCATCAGTCACAAATCCATCATGCTCTTCCTCTGAAAAGCCTTCCCCTCTGCCCCCTCCCTCCCAGTCCTACCATTGCCCCTAGCTATTCAAACATTGCACCTGAGATACTGCATAGCCTCCTGATAAGGGGTTCCCTGACCCAGCCATCTACCACCCTCAAGTCTCTCCTGCCCTCCCCCAAAAGAACATGCCTTTCCCCTAAACAAAACTCTTCCCTGCTTGCCCTTTGTCTACCGAATAAAGTCCACATGAGCAGGCCTGGCAGCTACAGCCTTTTAGAACTCAGCTCAATCCACCCTTACAGCCGTATCTCTCCTGGTATTCTCTAATGTACTCTCAACTCTGCCAAAATCAATGATCAGATAACACCCTGTTCTTCAAACATGCCCCGTGCTGACTGCCTGCCACCTTGCTTCTCAGATGATTCCCTCCATCCGGAGGTGCTTCCCATACCTCCCTGAATGAACAGGATCACCAGGGAACTTTTACAAAAGAGATGCCTGGGCCTCACTTTAGTAATTCTGATTTCACAAGATGGGATAGGACTATTGAGGCAATGGGTGGGGATCTTTTATAACAGGTTTAGAAACCAAAAGATACAGCCCAGCCCAGCCCAAGTCCTCAATCAACAAAAAAACCTGCTCATCTCTCCCTTCCCACAAAATCCCCACCAGAAGGGGTCTCCCTTTCCTCCAAGATGCCACAGGTGTTTGGTTTATGGTTTGTTTGGGCTCTGAAATCAATAATCGGGCCTTCCCTAATTCCCAGCCTCCCCACCCTCTTCTGCAGGCCATGTCCCTACTGCTAGATGCTAAGTGGGCAGGCAGTATTGGAAAGACAGGGTGATGAACAGGGAACAAGTGATCTGCATTAGGTGGAACATGCCTGGTTCTGGGTTTCTGTCTGGGAAACCAATGAAGGAGACAACATATAAATGTACGTGGTATCAGACGGTGCACAAAAGGTATTTGCAGGTTAAGAGTATTTTACTGTCGTGTTACTTCATCTGTGGCTCAGCACTATTCATTCAGTAGGCCTATGCTACGCACCACTGTGTTACTCATTGTAACTAGACAAAATTCCAAACTCCTAGTGTGCCTTCTGCCTACCGGGGCCTACATAACAGACACGTGACTTTCACATTCATTACAACTGACCTCTTCAGTCTCAATTCTGTGTCAGTGCCAGGGTGGAAAGGTCCCATGTTTTGGATAATCTATGAAATCGAGATATAAAACAGAAGAGCATCGGGAGAAAGTGAACTGCCCTTTTGTAGACTACCATGTGCTTGTTAGGGAAAAAAAAGTTAAGTATTTGAAAAGACAAAATAAATAATCACTGTGGTTTGGAAACTTGTTTTTCTCTTGAAGACTGAAAATCCTAGGGAAAAGAACTTGTAGTTGGAAATGACTGATTAATTAGCTTTTAAAATCTGCCCGTTTCCCTCTCTGTGTGTGTACCGTGGGGAGGGAATGTGCCTTGAATTTTTCATTTAAACAATTTGACAGCTTTAACTTCTCACTTTCCCTTTGCCAAGTAAAGGCCTTTGTTTAAGAGTTAACCACTCTTGGGGCGCCTGGGTGGCTTAGTCGTTTAAGCGTCCGACTTTCGCTTAGGTCATGATCTCATGGTTCGTGGGTTCGAGCCCCACGTCGGGCTCTGTGCTGACTGCCAGCTCAGAGCCTGGAGCCTGTTTCAGAGTCTGTGACTCCCTCTCTCTCTGACACTCCCCTGCTCACGCTGTCTCTCTCTCTCTCTCCTAGAAATAAATAAAACATTTAAAAAAATTTAAAAAAAAGAGTTAACCACTCTTGGGGTGCATGGGTGACTCAGTCAGTTAAGCATCTAACTTCAGCTCAGGTCATGATCTCACAGCTCTGTGAGTTTGAGCCCTGCATCAGGGTCTGTGCTGACAACTCAGAGCCTGGAACCTACTTCGGAGTCTCTGTCTCCCTCTCTCTCTGCCTCTCCCCCACTCGTGCTCAGCTTCTGTCTCTCAAAAATAAATAAAACATAAAAAAAAAAAGAGTTAACCACTCTTACCCTATGTCTGCACTTCCACATGACAGGTATGAGACCTACTGCCACAGTTGATGGGGTCTATGACAAGTCAAGGACTATCACTGAACACTTGCCTGGCACCCTGAGTGAGGCAAGCACATACCTTAGCTTCTTTTGATATTCACAAGGAAGGTGAACAAAGAGAAGAGGACCCTGGGACAAAGAGGTTAACCCATTAAGAGATGGGTCTGCAGTCAGAGTCAAGGAGCAGGTACAACTTGGGGCTCAAATTCAGATCTTCATCTTCTAAGCCCAGTGACGTTCCTATTGTTAACACGTTTTGTATAGTCTTAGTATGCCCGGCTTGTGTTTCTTCATTTGCCTTTGTTATTTTGAACATTTACACTGGTGCTTCCAGGTTGGGGGGATTTCTCTACGTGTTTGGAAATTCGGGTTGTAAGAAGGTATCTGTCAGTTATTTCTGTCCCCAGCTTTCCCATCTTCCCATTAAACTAGTATGTTCTAGACAGTAAGGCACTATATAAATACAAGGCATCATTTAGTCTGATGAATCAAAAATGAATGAATGGGCAAATCTACCTTCTGCCTCATCTGGCCCGGAGGGCAGGTTTACAGACCCATTCATACAGGTACGCGCAGGAATAGCTGGCCATTTTCCCGCTGCCCAGACTTAAGAGACCACATAAGGGGTCAGGAGCTTCTGCCCTTGCCTCAGCTCCCCCACTGTGCTTCTTGAATCTCAACACTGGGGCCAGGAGAGAAGCAAGTACCTATCATCGTAGGAGGAGATCCTCTTGCCATCCATGACTCGGGAGGGAGTGAGGGAGAGCAGGCTGAGGGAGTACAGCTTTTGCAGGAAGTGGCCCTCTAGAGAAGCAGAGGAGCACAATGCGGTCATCCTCCAGTTGAAGCAGGGCCTATCCGGGTTAACAAAAGACCATGCCCAACTCACCTCTGACCTTGGCATCCTTACTGAAGCGCCACTGAGGCACAAAGACAGTGATGTCACGGTGGCCCCGGTCCCAGAAGTACTGCACGGCAATGGCAATGCCCCGGCTGGAGAAGTAGTGTTGGAGGCCATGCCTGCGGTGGGAAGGGGTCAGCGCTCCAGGGCCCCAGAGACGGGGCCTCTCAGCACGTGTCCCCAAGGTCAGTAAAACTGCTCACTATCATCCCCCACCCCAGGATCCTCAGGCCCACCAGGTACTCACACCATGGCCACATTGCTGCCATCAATGACAATGTGACGGAGGTCTGGCTGGCCAGGCACATTGGCAAGGCACAGGGTGAAAGGGTCCTGCAGGGCCTCCTGGAAACGCTGCGTGCCAGTCACCAAGTTGCCCCCGCGGGTACCTCGTTTCCACGGAGACCCACGACCTCGGGCGACGACCTGCTGCTTGTCTCCCCTGTCTCCTCGGTCTCCACAGTGCCACGGGGGTTCGGGTGCAGGGGGAGGGCTAGGCACCCGTGGAGGTGAGGCCTTCCCATTGTGTAGCCGCTGGAGGAGGGAGGCTCCCCGGGGCTGAGCTGCCCTCTGATAGGGACCCTGGGCACCGGGAGGCTCACCCTGGACACAGAACCTTCCCCTGTCCTGAGGCACCCCCTCCTTCCCCAGGCCCTTTCCTGTCAGGGGCCCTACCTGCCCCGCATCACCTCCTCCTGATTGTGATCTGAAGGCCCCTTCTTTCTCCCAGGCCTCTTGCCCAGGCAGCTCCTTCCACCCCAAATCCACCTCCCTGGGACCACCCTGCTTCCCTCCCTCCTTCTCCATAACATGTCTCTCCCCCCTTGACTCTTGCCACCCCGTAGGTCCAGTGTGCAGGGACTCCCCACCTACACCTACACCAGCTCTGACTCCCTGGTACTGAGCACCCAGTGGGCCCGGCCTCCCCCCATCCCAGGGGGGGAGTGCATGGGGCCCCTGCCCCCTGGATGCCTCCTGTACCAGGCTCAGCAGTTCCTCCTGGACAGCCAGGGGCAGCTGTAGCAAGGCCTCTCTGTGGGCATCCCCATAGGGCTGCAGCAGGGCAGAGAAGTCTCTCAGCACTCCGGCACACTGAGAGACTCCAGGGGATCGCCCTGGCTGAAAGTCCCAGCTCAGCCGCTCCACCAGCTCCTCCACTCTGCTCTGAGCCATGACGAAGGCCTCAGTCAGGCCACTGACCATCAGTGAGCCGGGCGGCCCAGGCACCAGGTGGGCTGATGTGCTCCAGACCAGACAATCGAGGAAGAAGCCCTGGGCTCCCAGGAAGATGCAGTGCAGTTTGGGTGGGTAGCGGATTTCATTCTGCAACTCTGGGCTGCAGAGACCCTTCAGGTACTCCTGGGAGAGGAATGGGGGGGGGGGGTAGGAAAAAAGGAGATTCCTGGAATTCTTCATGGCCCAGTAGCTTCTTCAGGCCCACTGCACACCACCACCGCCCCATCCCTGAGCTCCAGGATGCCTGGGCAGAGCACTGGAGCCCCACAGAGCCTGACAAAGGTGAGGGTTAAAAAGGGATCAAGAATCCTCATTTCTTTCCCTTTCCAGCTGATTGCTTATGGCTAATATTTCCGTTTAGAACTTGACTCGATGTAAGATGGTATTATAATTAACTGATCACAAGGCCATCTCTCTAAATACTATGCGTGTGTATACGTGTTGCATATTTCCATCACAATGACTGTCAGTGCTAACTTCTGCTGAACGCATGCTTTATCTCATTCACAGTAAGTCCAATGAGGTGGATACTGCTATTATTCACATTTCATAGATATGGAAAGGGAGACTCAACATGAGGCCACTCCAGGAGGTAAGTAGAGCTGCACCAGAACCTCTGACGGAAGGAAGCAATGTGGCCTGGCTTCCCAACCCCCCATGAATTCCTTGGTGGGGCCTTCTTGCCCAACCGGATTATCTCTAGTCTTCAAAAACAGCACAACTGACTTGAGCAGAACCACCTGTCTCTAAGTCCTGGCAGAACCTGGCTCAACACGGCTAAAACGAAACCAAAACTACAGATAAATACAGATTTGCAAAGTCCCTCAAAGATCAGGGCCACTGACGTTGCCAGTGACAACCAAGGAGTGAGTGGAGATCCTCCCCAGCAGCCCCTCCTCTGCTCTGCCTCCCTGCAGGGGAGGGACTCATTGTTCCCCAAAGGGTCAGAGAGGGGTTTTCACCTTGGCTCTGCTGGCGTTCTCCTTGGGGCCCTCCAGCTGCAGCCAGATGTGAGGGTTTTCAGGACAGTCCTTTGGGAGGACACTCATCCCCACGCTGAAGATGCGCTCCACGTAGGGTTGCCGCTCACGCACCTTGTCCTCAGCCTCCGCAGACACGGCAAAGCGGTCAGGGGACGGGGAGCCCGCCCCCCAGGTGGGCATGGCTGCTTGACCACCCAGCCCTGGAAGGAGGGAAGGCGGCTCAGAGCCTCCTGGTCCCCTCAACCCAAATCTTGGGTCTCCCACCCTACGCCAGCTATCAACAGGTCGCGCCTAGTTACCGATCTAGTAAACAACCTGCGTCCATCCTGGGGGAAGGAAGGGAAGGTCAGATTATCCGGAACCAGGTCTTCTCCCCGGAGAGGTCATGGGCAAACAAGCCTGCCTGCTGGGGATGGGCATCTGGCCTTTGGAAAAGGCTGACCACAGCCCTAAACAGGAAGAGTAGGGGGCTCCAGCTCGGTGTGGAGGCCAGAAGTGGACAGATGACAAAAGAGCCCCTCTTCTCAGGATCTCTGCAGCCTCCGGGTCCAAGACGGCCTCTTAGAGATGAATCCGCACCAGGGCTTGAACTGGGATGTCCTCTGGAGTCCCAGGTCTGCCATTTCCAACGTTCTAGCCCCTCCCACCTCTCCCCCTCTCTCCGCCGTCCGCCGCTGCTCTAGGTCGCGCCACAGCCCCACCCGGGGCCCAGGGGCCGGGCCGGGTACCGCCCACAGCCGCCAGCGGCCACCGCCCCCGGCGCCCCTCCCCCCGGCCGCGCTCGGCACAGGGGCCTCCGGCTCGGCTCCCGCCGCCCGGGCGCGGGGCACAGCGCGCCTACCCGCCTTGGCCGCCTGCTTCGGCCTCAGTCCAGCCGGCGCCTCTCGGTGCCCGCAGGCCCCAGCTTCACCCGCGCCCCAGGCCCAGCGGAGAAGGGCGGGGACCCCGAATCTGGGCGGGCCTTTTCGAAGTCCTCACCCAACAGGGACCTGTCTTCTCCACATCTCGAACAGTTTTTTGAGTCACTTCCTGGCCCGGGGCGGAGTCACCCAGGCCCCACCCTGCGCAGGGCGGGCTCCGGGCCCTAGAGCGCGTCAGCCGCCGGGCCCCTCCCCGACCCGCCCCCGGCCCGCCTCCAGGCCCCGCCCACTCGCCCGGGCTTCGCTCGGGCTCAGCTTCCAAGCCTGCCTGATGGGTTCGCTTTTTCTGGTAAGTCTGGGTTCTCGCTTGTTCTGCGCAGTTGTTTCTCGGGAGAGAAGAACCACTCATTGAGAGTTGGAGGTGAAGAGGATCCCTTCGGATGAAGATGTTGGAAGATCAAGGAGAGAAAGAGACTGGCCCACGGTCACAAAATATGACACCGTTGACCTAAGCGCTTTCCACCGCAATCGTAGGGGAAAGACCAGGGCTCCCGCTCTCTTCTAACAGCGGAAAGGGGCCACTGAGAAGGCTGTTGACTAGTGAGAGAGTTTGTAGAAGGGAGGAATGAGGAGAAGGAGGGGCTGTAGGAGCTGTCTGGAGCACATAGGCACACTCACACGCATACAGGCACTCACACATTCTCACAGACACATGTACACTTTGACACCCCAAGTTCTCTATCGTCCTAGATCCAGCCTTCAGTGCTCTCCAGAGGGGCTGCCCTGGGTCCTGGCTGTAGCCTTCCTGTCTCACTGCCTCATCCCTCCTCTCCCTCCTAGCGCCCAACTGCTGTCACTTCGTGCCCTGCCAAGGAGGAGGGAACTGCAGTGACAGCAGGAGAGAGAGGCAGGACAGAGCGTGGGGCACAGAGAGGGATGGAGAGGGAGATGCTGAGACCAGGTAACAGTGAGACCCAGAGAGAGAGCTGAGGAGCAGGGTGAGGGGTGGTGAGAGTCCCGGGGAAGTGGAAACTGAAAGGTGCAGCTAGAGAGGACGGAAGACAGGAAGACTTGTGGGTCACAGAGCCACTCAGCCATGCCGGGAGCCAAACGGCAGAGCCAACCTGGATTCCCACCCAGTCCCGGGCTGTCCTTGGCCCTGATACTTCTGGCCCTAGGGAATGGGTGGGCCCAAGAAGGGGCAGAGCCTGTCCTCCTGGAGGGCGAGTGCCTGGTGGTCTGTGAGCCTGGCCGAGCTGCTGCAGGGGGGCCTGGGGGAGCAGCCCTGGGAGAGGCGCCCCCGGGAAGAGTGGCATTTGCTGCAGTCCGAAGCCACCACCACGAGCCAGCAGGGGAGATCAGCAATGGCACCAGTGGGGCCATCTACTTCGACCAGGTAACCCCGCACCCTTGTCCAGGGGACCTGTAATGGCCCGGGATCAACTGCTCAAACCCACAGTGCTCTTAAGGAAAATCCCCCTACTGTGACCAGTGCTCCTCCGCCCCGCTGCCTGTCTCCCTTCCCTGCATTCCCACCCACGTGCCTCCTTGCCCGTTCTCATCATTTCTTGTGAATCTGTGCATTCCTCCTGCTCTTGCCTACTTGCCATCCCTTCTTTTCCTTACCCACTGCCCCGTCCCATAAGCCAGTAGTTTCCCTACAGCCCCACTTAGCAGAGTCTGCTTCCCACAGGTCCTGGTGAATGAGGGTGGTGGCTTTGACCGGGCCTCGGGCTCTTTCGTGGCCCCTGTTCGTGGTGTCTATAGCTTCCGCTTCCATGTGGTGAAGGTGTACAACCGCCAAACTGTCCAGGTGACCTGTGTGCTGGGGCCCTGTCCTGGCTCAGGAGGGGAGGGAAGGAAGAGGGAATAAGTGGAGTCCAGCTGACTCCTAGGTAGACCCTCCATTGATGGTGTCGGCGGCGGGGGCGGGGGGGCGGAGGGGGGGAACTGGCAGGAGCAAGGGAGGAAAGGACTATCCAGCAGAACATGTGGAGGAGGTACAGAGTCCAACCCTGGCCACCCCTCAGCCCTCTGATGAGCGTGCGCTGAGCCCCAAGTTCCCAGGATTACAGAGTATCCCTTGGGGGCTGGAGAAAAGAAGAAGCCCTCAGGAAAGTGGGGATCTCGGGACAAAGGCAGAGGAGAAGTCCTAACTGGGCTCATCTCCCCAGGTGAGCCTGATGCTGAACACGTGGCCCGTCATCTCCGCCTTTGCCAACGACCCTGATGTGACCCGAGAGGCAGCCACCAGCTCTGTGTTACTGCCCCTGGACCCTGGGGACCGAGTGTCCCTGCGCCTGCGTCGGGGGAACCTCCTGGGGGGCTGGAAATACTCCAGCTTCTCTGGCTTCCTCATTTTCCCACTCTAAGGGTTCAGGCATTTGAAGGACTGGAATCTAACCCCTAACCTCTGCCCTCTGCCCTCTCCTACCCCAGAAGCAGCATCTTTGGAGTAAGAGAGAGGCTCCCTCTGGCTGCCTGTATTCCACCTTCTTGCATGGGACCCTGTGCCTAACACCCAAGGTGAAGAGCAGAGCTGTGGTGTCTGGGGACCTGGCCCCCCTCACCTACCCTCCCACCCCCATCCTCCCACTGCATCTCTGTGCCTGCACAGTATGGCAGGTGGCAAGGCCTGTGCTACTTTGCAGACTCTGCTCTTCCTGTTCCTCCACCCCCAGCTTTCTGCCCAGTGCTGTTTGGGGACAGGTGGCACAGGTGAGCCTGACAGGCCCCCCCACAGGGACCCAGATGGACCAGCCTCAGTGTACCCTGCAGGCTCCTTCCTACGAGGTGTGCCAACATCGCAGATCTTGGCCAGCACAGTCAGAAGCCGAGCCAGCACGGTGTGAGCTAGGGCAGGAGGCTTAGCCGCCAGCAGAAGCGTGGGGAGGGCCACGGAGCAGCCCAGAGCCTGTGGCTGGTGGGTCAGGAAGGGCATGTGCCCAGCCTGAACATGGTGTACACTTATCATGTGCATTGGGGCACCCAGCAGACAGCGAATCTGGGCATCCATCTGTGCCAGGTCCCAGATGGACTCTGGCCCTCACCTCCCCACCTAAGACATGGGGGTGGGGGGGTGTTTGCTTTGGCTAAGAGTGGGTATACAGCTTCCTTGACAGCTGGAGGTAGGGAAGTAAGTAGAAAGTCACACGTGGGCAAGTGTTGATCTCCATGCACGGAACATGTCAGTGACGCAGCCGCCTCCTAAAACTGCTCCACCTTTGTGATCTGAGCTTCAACGACCACATTCTGACCACCACTGCCACCCACCCTGCCAGCTCTCTCAGCTATCTTCGCCATACCTGTTCCAAACTCTCCCTAGCGTCTCTTATTTCTCCTGATTTGTGTTGTTTTGTTCTCCTTCTTAAGCTTCCTGTTATCTTAGATGCTATGATTCATCCCTTCAGCCACTCTGCTGCCAGTATTAGAAATTCTGTGTCTTACTGCGCGCTGTCCCATTCTCCCAGCATGGATGAACCTATCAGTAAAGCAACTAGAGAATGACAGTCAGTGAGAAACTGCAGGAGCCCTGGAGAGACAAGATGCCATTACAATTTGGATCAGGGGCCACAGGACACAAGCAGGTATGCTGTAGAGAAGAGAAACGTAAAATTGTATATTTGAGTCAAACACAAAAGGAAATTAGTAACACTTGAATTAAATAGGAAACACCAACCTGAACTTGTGGCTTTCAAAAGAAATAATTTTTTCCAAATTTGTCACTCAAGTAGCCTAGAAACAATATTAGGGAAAGTCTGATATGCATTCTTTGCACCTGGATCTTTGCCTCAAGTATGATTCACCTTTAAAAGAACTCAGGGGATGGGGCGCCTGACTGGCTCAGTTGGTAGAGCATGTGACCCTTGATCTAGAGTTTAGAGCCCCATGTTGGGTGTAGAGATTACTTAAACATTAAAAAAATCTTTAATAAATAAATAAATAAAAGGAAAACAATTCAGGGTTCTTTGGAGGATAATTCCATATCTTAAGAAACGCTAGGCCTGGAACACGTTGTTAATGACAAAAAAGCAAGGATACTTCTTAAACTGCATCACATAGCTGAAAAGGCAAAGGAATCTGTTTTCAAATTCTTCTGCCACTTGACATGCTGTGACAATTCGATCATCAAAAGAAAAATAATATAGTTATTTGGAACAAGGTGAATTTTTAAAATTCATGACTCCATAGTGATATTTAAAAAGGAAAAAGTCACTATAAAATATGCAAAAAGATAGTTAATATGTCAAGTGAAGAAGAACAAATATAATCGTATATATTTAGCTAATTCTGATAAGTAAAAGTATAAATATAGTGGGTATTTTATCTCTTCATAAAGCATACTTATTCTTCTTTATCTGTATAAGGAGGGAAGGGTGGACACATAGAGCTGTGAGTAATTCCAGAAAAAGTTGGAACTGTATCAAGAATGGAGGAGACTGATTGGCACCATATGGTCAGATATTACAACCAGGAAGAAAGGGAGTCCAACAGTGTGTTGCAAGACGATGAATTAGTCAAACGTCCAAAAGATAACTGCTCACAGCTCAAACTTGATCCTTCATCTCTTGGGAAAGGGAGCCTCTACATCACCATACTTATTACAATGAGATTGCAGTAACAGTAAACCCAGACTAATAATGGCTTAACCAAGAAAGACAATGATTTCTGTCTCACGTAGAAGAATTTGCAAATAAAGAGCCTAGGGCTGGATCACAGTTTCATGATAATCACAGCTGAGTTTCTCTTCTTGCCATTACCCTCTTTAGCA